TAACCCTTTCATTGCTATTAGCGCCTATACGATACACTTTCACCTTAATTTAATACTTAATTTTATCTTCCACCTTAACTTAATAAATCGGATTTCAGAACGACACGGCAAAAATAACAAATTTTGCAGTCGTATCTGAAAATTTGCCGTCTCTGCCACACACGTTGCGTATTAAAATCAGCCACAACGAAAGGGTTGAAAACGTAGAAATGATTATGAACCCAAAGAAATGTCAATATCACTGTCTTCAACTCGATCTCGTCGAGTTTGATCCTCGAAAAGGTGTGAAATCGCGAAAAAGCGCGAATTAGCGTGTTAATTATTACCAAACACAATCAGTTCTCGCACTTCACCTTGACGGTGGAAGAAAATGGGCGCCAAGTGTCGCGGCACGCCGAGATTTCTCGTGTTTGAAAGGGGCGACCTCGAGGGGGTGTACATATCGAAACGAGCCCTCGCGAGCCACGCTTTTCTCTCGCCGTTGATCCTTGGGGCTTTTCTAAGCAAACGCTCGTTTGTTTGATTTATGAAGATTACGCCTCGTCGCGACTGGTCTGCAATTTCTCCTTATCGATCGTCTTGCGCGCTCGAAAGTGAGATCGTATTGTCATGTTAAAGACGGCCGCCCGGAACCGTGAAAAATGTCTCGGTTGTTGCCGCGTAGAAATGGCGCGTGGTCCATTATGCCGGAGCCGTTACATGGTCGCGTGACCAACGATTGTAAAAATCGCCCCCGCGTGGAGGTGTAAGTACATAGAATTGTACGAGAGTGACGTGCACCGATCGACGTGCCTGCGGAATAAAAATAAACCGGAGTTTTCTGGGCCACTGGCGCGAGAATTCCTCGAAAAATCGTAGCGCCACCCGGAAACGTAGACAGAACATTCGGAAAAACCATAAATTTCTTTTTGAACCGAGCTTATGTAGATTGACATATTTTCGAGAAATTGTAGTCGAGAGCTTGGCTGGAGTCTGTGCGGCGCCAATGATCGATTTAATATCTACGAGAGAGAGAGAGAGAGAGAGAGAGGTTCCGTCTGTTCCATTTCTAAAGTTCGTCTGCAGGAGGCAAACATTTGGTCGCTGATATTGCTACGTCTAGAGAGGCGTAGACGGAAGTACCGTTCGTATTTGCCCACCCCAGTTGTTCACTGTATTCAATATTTTAATAACTAATTTTGTTTAACCAATTTTCAAGGAACGAAGTCGGTTAATCTGTTTCGTAACTCTTAATTGAAAAAAACGTAATTCTTTCGAAAGGCTAATCGCATCTTTGAACGAAGAAAAAGAGAGTAGCTGGGCAAATAACTTACGAGCAGTAGTATATACCGGGTGTCCCAGTTTTTTTCCGATCAAACTTCGTCAGTATCTTCTTTGAGTGTAGGTGAGAAGAAAATGTTATATGAACATAGGTCGTTCGAAGCTTCGTTAAAAAGTTATAATAAAAATACGATGGAAATGGTAACGACCTTGCGGTTGCTACGATATAAGACAAAAATGGCGCTGGTAAAAGTTATATTCAACACCTTTAACAACCTGAGATAGTAAGCATAAACAGACTAGATACATATATAACCGATATATTCCTATTTTGTATCGTAATAACCGCACACCCGTTACCGTACCATTCTCATTTCTTATTATCGTTATAACTTTTTAACGAAGCTTCAAACGACCTATGTTCATATAACATTTTTCTCTTATCTACACCCATAGAACACACTCGCGAAGTTTCGTCCAAAAAAATTAGGACACCCGGTATATTCGTTTTAACGAGACGTCTAATAGTACATACATTTACCCGCATCTATCGATTTAACGAAACCTCAAGGAGAAATTTGACGTGCAACCATCTCGTACACTTGGAACAAACATTCTAGAAAATGTATCGACGTTTCCATTTCCCCCGCTGATCGAACTCGACGCGATTTCGTCTGTTCTCTCGATAAAGTTACACACGGTGCTCGCGTACGATTTCACTGCACCTGTAATCGACCAGAACTATATGTTGCGATAACAACAGCGTGGAGAACGCCAGAGGTCACGTGTGTTGTAAGGGTAAAAAAGAAAGGAAAATGACACTCGATCTCCGGAGCAATTTCTGTCGCCGGCGAAAGTCGTTTATTGAACGCGGAGAGATTGACGGCGCTTAAACGGATGGAACTTCTCGAGCTCGAAACAAAAACATCGATTCGTTGGCGGAAGTGGCATGGTTTAACGAAGAATGTTCCGTCCGTCGCGACGGTGATGCGCTGTGTGCACAGAGTGGAGAACTTTGTTGACCCAAATACGAGCAGCACGATACATAATAAGGGGGCTTGGTCGGTGGAGAACGACGAGGCACCTTGACGCCTTCACGGGGCGCCCTATCTTTAATGCATTAGGATACCTCCTCGCGGTTCTTCCAGCTCGGAATTTCGCCGAGTCAGAGATTGTCTGTTACGAGGTGGCTTAGCCGGGTGTCCAGGCTATATCAGAATTGGAAATTATTTGTATGAGCTCGTTTATGGCGTCGTCTAGACGAATTTGGCGATGGTATCTCCAGTTCGTTGAATTAGTGTTACATCTTTAACACGTTGCAAGAAAAGTATTGAAAAGTCGCGTTGAAATTTCGATTAGTGTTAAATTCTTGTCACTTTAACCCTTTCGTTCAATAACTGAACAATTATATGAAAAATACACATAATCGATATTTTTCTTTTGTAAGTTTTATGGTATTATAAAAAAATTCGCATTTTTATTGCTGAATATCATTTTTTTAGTCCACAGCGAAAGAGTCAATCTATAATACTTGCGCGCCTACGTTGTTTTTCAGCCTTGAATCCAAGAGTATTCCTTTCCGTCTAATGCGAAACTGTCGTGTATAGTCGGTGGAAGAAATATAGCGAGGTAGTGAGTCACAGTAGCTTGTCTTAACCATTTGCACTCCAATGGGCGCCATTACGGCGACACGCGTAATTACTTTGGAGAACTTAAAAATGTAAAATTCAGGTTTTTCTATATTCTTGAAACAATGGAAATTAAAATGAGAAATAGAAATAAATAAATTCATAAACAATAAACGTTCTTTTTCCAAAATGAAACTTGGGGTTTTCGAAAGTTGGGGTTGCAAAAGTATACTAGAGTTGCTGATTAATTCTATCAACAGCTTGGAGTACTTTGTAGGAAATTACTTTGTGTTAAGTGTTCTATGCACCAATTGATGCAGTGACATTCAAGCATTTTATATACATGTTTCGATTAGGGTTAATCAAAGATAAGGCACACTTCGTGCAACCCTAACTGAGGCTTCAAGCCCTTATCTTCTCAGCTTTCTGTTGATTCCCTTATCGATATTCTTCGACGTATAAACTTTGACACCTGATCGATTTTACGACCTCGCTATCTTCCACCGACTATACCATTGATGATATACACGACACGAAACGTGGTAAATTTAATATTTGATTAAATTGATTTTGAATCATACAAAATTTACCAAATTTGAAATTGTACGTGTCAAAATTTCTTGTCTGTTCTTAATTAACACTAGAATTACCAACCGAGTCAGAATGACATTACCGACGTTACAAAAGTGAATTTTTACGTAAGTAAACCATAAATGGAAAATTCGATTCATTTCGATACAAATAGAAGCATACCTGTAGAAAATAAATTCGGAAAGTTACAAACGACAACACTTACCAGTATTGAACATTCACGTTTTCTCGAAAGATGCTAACGGGTCATTTTGACTCGGTCGGTAATTCTAGTGTCAACATTAAATTCCTTGAATTATGCAGAAATTACTTTGCATTGAATATTCCGTGATAAGACCCCTCGTGTTGTTTGTACAATATCGAGAACTGCATTGATCCAAGTACAAATACCGTTGAACAAGGGTGCAAGTCTAATTTAAGCCGCAGCGACATCAGTTTCCTCCGGTCTACCACGCGGTATCACGTCCTTGGAGTTAGTATCGGCGGGGAGGTCCGTCGAGTCGAAGATCGTGAAGAACTTCGTTGACCTAAATACGGGGACGATAATAAGGAGAAGGGCTAGTTCGTTCGAGCTTCGAACCTCCCGGAACGCCTTTAATCCTTCTGGTTGCTTCGTATCCCCCTTGATCCCAGACCGTCCATTTTTCTTCGTTCTTAGCTCAATCCCCGCCATTTGTTTCATTCTATCCCCCTTGTCGTCTTCGTTTCATGCTTACCCGTGCTTTCTTTTTAATTCCATTTATTTGAACAGCAGACAACCATTTCCCCAAGACTTTCAGTACCAATTTTATTCGACACTTTATGAAAGTCTCTCGACGGTAATTCCAAGTAAGAAGCGCGCCGGTAAATCCCGTGTAACGCGACCTCTTTCCAGGGAAAATACTCATATAAAATCAGGATACGTTTGTGCCTAACAAGAGAGAGAGAGAGAGAGAAAGATAGAGTTTGTTGGAAATATAATAAACAGAGGAAGGTCGTGTAAAGTCGCTCTGATTGACGCTAGTTTCACACGCGATTCCACCAGACGGATAAAATCTCGTCGTTTCTATTCTTAACTATATGTAAAATTACAATATACTTTTTAAATCGAAGCTCGATTTACTCTAAATTTACTCTTCTAATTTGCTCAATTCCGATATCGCTTAATTTCCACCGCAAGGACACACACTTATCCACCGAGTTTCCTCGCGCGTACACACTCGCCCACGAATCAGCGAGATTCGCGACGAGATCAATACGATCTTATCCTCGGTGTGCGCCGGCTATCGACGAAAATATGATAAGAACGATCTAATTAACCAAGGGGTGAACGTACCCTACCGTCTCTACACTTTTTACCTCTCTCTCTCTCTCTTCAACGACAGGGAGAGAACTGTGGTGGCTGTCTCCACGTCTCTCCCTCCTGTCGATGACACCAGTTAATTGCTCTCTATCTCCACTGTGCATGCACCCGCAACCGTACTTAGAGGCTGTACCGCGACAGCTGTGTACCACTCTAACACGGGATTAATGGTATTCCAGAGATTGGTCGCGGAACTGAACAAAGAACAAGAGGCATTCATTGCCAACAAGCACACCGAAAAGGGAGAGGCCGTTGCACCATGGGTCGGCGCACCGAACGAGGACGTATTACGAGAGGAGTGCTTATCTTTGTCGACGGTGAGTAATTCCTCCTTTCCACTAGCCAGCTCGTTGTGTCTGGAGAGAGAGAAGAAGCTCCGGTGTGTCCGCTGCCCCCGTGTTCGGGCACAAGCCGCGGTGAGAATCCACGGGAAAACGAAGCTGTAGAGCGCCGCGGCCAGAGTGCTTTGCAATTGGATTCCCCAGGCACAATGGGCTTACCAGGCACACCGGTGCCTCTCTGTTAAGGTGGTCGCGAATGTACGCCACCAGGGAGATCATTGCTCCAGGTGTAATTTACATATGACGTTTGACGGGCGGGAATAACGCGGTAATAGTGTTTGTCTGACAAGAGCGTGACCGGTGTAATTTGCGGTCGACGGGAATTAACGGGTGACGATTAAAAATTTGTGGATTATCCGGGAAATCGGAGATTTTTAGAATGACGAGTCGGGGAAAAACGTCTTTAGTTTGGTAATGAATATTTAAACGCGGATTTTTATACATTTATGGAGAATTTGAAAGCATGAAGATACACGGAATACACGTAATAAGTGAAGATATATAAATACAGCCGAAATATAGTGCTCATTGTAATATTTAGTGAATAGAACAATTGTCTATCTAGCTTTTGTTTTTTTTTTATTATACTCGTCAATATATGAATTTGCATAAAAATCTACAGGCTAGAAATGACATTGATAAAAAATTTCACATATGCTGAGTGTAAAAACGTTTTCATAATTACATAGATGAGTCAATAAATAAGTTACGTCTTCCTTTTAAAAAAATACGAACGAATGAAAAAACCGTGAATAATCAAAAAATCCTTCTCTGACTTTCGTAAAGAAACTGTATTTTTAACAAAAAATTCTGCATACGCTGAGAGTAAAAACGTTTTCACAATTATTTAAGTGAGTCAATAAGTAAGTTACATCTTCCCTCTAAAAAAATCGCGAATAATTAAAAAGTCTGAGCTTTCCCCAATGATGCTTTGTAGGAAAAAACCTTTTTCTGACTTTCGAAAGGAAACTGCAATTTTAACAAAAAATTCTGCATACGCTGAGAGTAAAAACGTTTTCAGAATTATACGGGTAAGTCAATAATCGCGAATAATCAACAAGAACCGTTCCTTCCCTAATGACGCTTTGTAGAAAAAGACTTCTTCTGACTTTCGTAAAGAAACTACATTTTTAAAAAGTTTGCACAATTACATAGATGAGTTATTAAATTATGCTGGTCGCCAATTTGTTAGACAGACTGTGCGAAGAGATGTTAACGTTCTTCAATCGTAGGAATAATTTACGTATAACGTTCGACAAGCCAGAATGACGAGTTCTGTGAAAAGATTTTTGGATAAGAATATTTAATGCACCGATCGGTTTTTCCAACGTTCTAATAATTTACACATGACGTTTCACGAATTAGAGTAACGAGGTACGCGAAGAAATTTTTAGGTTATATTGCTTGCTGTTAGTTCCCTCGAGCGTAATAATAATTTACGCATGACGTTGGATAAGCTAGATTGACAAGATATACGAAGAAACTTTTCGGTTTAATTGGTCAAGCTGTTCGATTTTTCCATTAGAATAATAATTTACGTGTAAAATTTGACGAGTTAAAATGTCGAGGTGCACGGAGAGATTTTTAGGTTAGATTGCTCAGTCACGCTGTTAAATGCCTCGAGCGTTTAAATAATTTATGTATGAAATTTGATAAGATATACGAACAGATTTTTCGGTTTAATTGTTTGATCAAACTCTTCGATTTTTTCATTAGAATAATAATTTACGTGTAAAATTTGACGAGTTAAAATGTCGAGGTACACGGAGAGATTTTTAGGTTAGATTGCTCAGTCACGCTGTTAAGTCCCTCGAGCGTTTAAATAATTTATGTATGAAGTTTGACGAATTAGAATGACTCAGAATTACTCAGTTACACTTTTCAGTTCTTAGAGCATAGTTGCAGAAGGTATTTAGGTTGAATAATTGGGTTAAATTGTTCCCCTCTTCGGGTGTACATTACATCGAGGTCACAGAATGGACGCTCGGTATTTTACAATGATGTACACGATCAGATAGATAGATATGCAGAGGGATGTTTAATTTGATTGGTGAATTAATAATACATACGAATGATAATGCGGTGACCGTGTACCATGGATTTGAAATTACCATGTCAATTTGTGTCGATACTATTGAACGAGTCAGATACAATTACCGTAGTTCCATGGAAAATGCAAAACAGAGATTAAACAAAATTTCAAAAATTCACATTTCCTCTATACGTAACAACAAATAACGAAATAATCTCGTACCTCGTTTCAACCAAAAGTAGATTCGTACGATAGCAACAAATGACGATAATCAACGAGTAGAGAATTGCATTATAAATGGAAATTGGTCGCTGTTAATTATATTCGAGGGATCGTGTCGCGATTAGCGAAGATCGCTGAAGTTGCAATTGGATTTCTCCGGCTAATGGGGTATTTGTTCAATTAAGCCGAATCGATCGTTCTTTAATTGGAGCTCTTGGACCGACGATATTTCGTTAAAGATAGAACTCGAATCGCGAGGTAGAGAGACGTGTACTCGATCGATCACGTCTAACTGATAAAACGAATTCGTAATGAGATTAGGTGACGGAACTCTCGACGCGACGAACTGGAAGAAAGTTGGAAGCACGTGAACATTGATTTCAGGACCAACGTAACTTCCTGAGGCCCCCGCCAGAGGGTGTCGATTTCCCGTGGGACTTTGAGGCCGTGCAACCGATGGCAGAGGCTACCCTCGCCCTCGATCCGAACTTGGAGAACATGAGGTTCCAGTTGGTACCGAAAGTGTGAGTAATTGTGAACGCCGGCGCCTGGTAATTCGCCTTTACGATCCTAGGAGAGAATCGATACCGAAACTCCTCTGGCCCTTAAGTTTCACGCTGTAACTTTAACCCCGGAGTAAAGATTAAGAGATTTCAAGAGTCCACTGTTACATTATCCCAAAGTAAGTAGAGGATTAAACTCCGGATTGGAAGATAGAAATATCACATGTTTAGTGAGATAATATTTCCATCTTGACTATTTGCACGGTATCCACAGCTGGCGAAATCCTTCGGACACTGTGTGTCCTTCGTACGGGTAGCTTGATACAAATTCTCTTTATCCTTTGAACAAGCTTGCTTGTACGATCCATCTTACCCTCGAAGTCACCGTACGAACTTTTCTATACGGTGAAATTCAATTTTTCTGTTAGGTTATGTAGTATCAATATACTGAGATCAAAATGAGTGGGATGTCTTTGGAATGTTTCTATGAAATTTTTAGATAACCCCCTGGAATTCCTCTGAAAATTTCACAAAATCCTCTAAAGGTCCTCTGAAATTTCTGCAAAATCTCCTAGAATTCTTATGAAATTTACACAAAATCCTTTAGCATTCCTCTGAAATTGTCACAAACTTCCTCTAAACTTTCCTCAAAATCCCTTAGAATGCTTCTGAAATTTTCACAGGATCCTCTAGAATTTCTCTGAAGTTTCCACAAAATCTCCTGGAATTTCTCTGAAGTTTCCACAAAATCCCTTCGAATACCTCGAAAATTCCACTCAAAAGCAGCGAAACTTACGGCCGCCAGAGTCTCGGTATCATAAATCACAGAGGTTCCAGCGCTCTCTCAATTCCTCGCCGCAAATTTCCGGAAGTATCTTGGGAAACGAGTCCTTAATTGCAACCAATCTCGAAACGAATCGGTCCCACAGGTCGATACGCATTCGAGTTCTCTATCTGGGCATATCTAGTGAACGCGAATCGATTATTTACCTAGGGTTTAAATTAAATCAGTCCGCGGGTAGTTGGCGTTAATTGGCAATTTCCAAACTGGCGTCCGACCACATCGAATCGGAAGCCAAGTTCCTCTGTCCCGTGTATCAGATTCGTAGCGAGATCAGCCTTGCTGCCTGTTCGATTAATTTCGTAACACCCTGTATACGGGTGTCGGTTCTTCGCCAGAGCCACGAGCTGAACGCGATGGCCCAAGCAGAGAACAACCCGACCCAAACCCCATCCGGAAACATGGAAGCAGCTGAAGGTAATTCCAACTGTCCCGCCACCATTTCTCGCCCTTACGCGGTCTCACTATTTAGTAACTCCTTCAGTTTTTGCAGTATAATGTACAGTTGGTGGAAGCGATATATCGAGCTCGTAAATTGGAGCATTAAAAACAGCTATACCGATTGACGTAGTCGTATCTAGGATCATATTTGTGAATTGATCTTTCAAATTTTTGCTTGGAATCTAACCCTTTCTTGACCGAATCGAAGATTTGAGGCTTTCACGGCTTGGAGCATAATTGTTATCGAGGCTTTCGGGTGTAAGGTGTGTCTTTATGGAAAATGTATGCCGACGTTTCGTAAGTATTGGAGCTCGCTTTACCAGAGTTCGTTGATAATCATAATCATTATCGGTGTTCCACGAATCCTGATAAAGTGAGCTTCAGTGCTACACGATTTACATCCGGAAGCCTTTCTTGACCGAATTTTTTTTTTTTTTTTGAAAATTTGTGATTTTTCCATGGATCATCGCGTTTATAATGGAGACTAAATTGAGATCCATTTTTGTGAGAGCACTCAAGTGGGATATATGAGTCCCACTGGTCACGAAAGGGTTAAAGCTGTACAGTATTAAGATTCAGTCGCCTTCTGCTCGATAGTAATTGCAGTATTGGTAAAAATTAACCTGCAGCTGTTAAGGATTAGCCCTTTGACTGCTATCGCCGCCTATAGAAGCTCAGTGATAATATATTATTTATTTTACAAATGTAAAATACAAAGTATCTAACAAAAAGTGATTTGGCTAACGTAATATGTAGTATTACTATTAATGCTATTATACTGTATTTTACTTTCGAGTTGCTAGCAGTCAAAGGGTTAAACTAAATTTTTTAAACATACTGCAATGGAGGGAGCAATTTCGAATTGACGTGAAACAGTCCTTGGATTACGTGAAACAGTCCTTAACGGAGCTCGAGCTCTGTTTCGGTCCTTGGATTACGTCTACTTCGACGCCTGATCGATTTTACGATCTCACTATCTCGCTTTCGCTGACTATACATTTCTGTTTTTAAGTCACTGGATATTTGTTAACTCCGAGAAAAAGTATTTATTAAAATAGGTTTCCAGCTAAAATGTAGAAAATCTGAGGAAAATATTTATTAAAATAGCTTTCCACTGAAATCTAGAAAATCTTGGTAAATGAAAATTTGCAATATAAATATTTGTTAAATCTGAGGAAAATATTTATTGAAACAGCTTTCCACTGAAATCTAGAAAATCTTGGTAAATGAAAATTTGCAATATGAATATTTGTCAAATCTGAGAAAAATATTTATTAAAATAGCTTTCCACTAAAATCAAGGAAATATTGGCAATTGAAAATTTGCAATATAAATATTTGTTAAATCTGAGGAAAATATTTATTGAAACAGGTTTCCACTGAAATCCAGGAAATCCTGGCAAATGAAAATTTGCAATATAAATATTTGTCGAATCTGAGAAATATTTTTATTAAAATAGCTTTTCACTGAAATCCAGGAAAGGTTGGAAAATAAAAATTTCAAAAATATGGATATTTGTTAACTCTGAGAAAAATATTTATTGAAACAACTTTCCACTAAAATCTAGCATATTTAAAATTTATTTTCCACGTAATTTAACCAATACCACCTTCACTCCCGAACAATAAATTTCCCACAATGTTCAGTGACTTACGAGCAGAATTGTAATTCCATCCCTCGATGGACCCTATCCAACGCAAAAATACTCCACCCTATGCGTCGTGTCTCGTTTGCCTTGGCCAGAGCTCCGAATATCCTCGTTGTTCCGCCAAGAAACAATTATTCAACTTCATTCGAACGATCATACAGTAGCTAATAGAGTGTTGTCTCTTCCCGTTTCTATATCAATGGGACATAGGCGATTATGATCAATCGAGAAGGTAAGTTCAATCTACCATCTTGAATTCATCGAGAGCTCATTGACAGACACACGTCGCTATAGACCAAACACGAGTGCTATATCTCTCATTCCTGAATACAATCGGAAACAACGAAGGATATATTTTGGTCGGGTTAAACGAGAGACACGCTGTACAAAAAGTAGAGTCGGTGGCTGATAATCCATTATCCTCTCTGTTACTCGGTACATCTCGTTATACCTGCGCGATTGTAAATCGTCGGAGGATAAAGCGAGATCGTAGACCGTTACATAATTCAAAGGACGAAGTCTGCTACCGTACTCGGTTTCTCCCGTGACCGACCGTGGAGAATAGATGAAATCCATATTTCATGCAACCGAAGATACGTGTTCCACGATGAACTAATCAAATTTTTACCTACCGCGAACGAGGCGAGAAATGAAAACAGATTGAAACATCCGCGAGAGAGTAATCTGATTAACCCTCTTGACGTGATTTCTTCTCCTGACTGTGTACGGAGGAAGCGCAGGTTGAAAACCCTGGCGGCCGAGAAAGTCGAAGAGAGAAATGTAAGTTCCTTGCGATTTTTTGGTGAAGTAAAAATTTTTTTTAGATACGGAAAGGTAATTGTTGGAATATTCGCCGTTGTTTTCTACGACTTCGCCACTTATTATTAACCCTTTGCACTCGGAGGTGACTTTGCAAATCGGATCTTCTTTGAAATTTTTTCAAACTAACTTAGACATCAACTGTGCGATTTTATTTAAATTTTCAATGCATTCTCTGTTTCTCTATAGTGAACAAATTTACGGAGGCCCGTAGATCTGCTCTCTGTCTTGATTCATTATTCATTAATTGTCGCCATTCGATTGCAAAGGGTTAAGCGTGTATTGACCCTTTCACTGCTGTCGGCGCCTTGAACATTTGTTCGCATTGTATTATTCCGACGCACTTCCGTATTAACCCTTTGCACTTCAAACATTTTTGGATGAAATTAACAGTGAAACTTCTGAAAACCCAAAGTCTAGTCCTGAGAAAAAATTTACTTATTTCTATTTTTTGTTAATTTGCATTATTTTGATAATACGAAAAAAGCTGAATTGTACATTTTAAAGTTTTCCAAAGGAATTACGCGTGTCGCCGTAAAAGCGCCATTGGAGTGCAGAGGGTTAATTCAGGCCTTAATTTCATCCTCTGCGCTCTTCCACGTTGATTCAGTAAAGCAAATTTGGAAATGATACCAGAAAAGACAATTTTGCGGCCGTTGTGGAACATTTGAATCGCGTTATGTACTAAAATCTGCCTCAGCGAAAGGGTTAAACGCAAAATACATGATATTCACGTCTTCAAGAACGAAAAGAAAACAATTGGTTGCAAATAAACTAGAGAAAAAGAAAACACAGTTAAGAGATTAACTAAGAAAGGTTGATGCATTACAAATTAATTAAATTTGCCAATCTTCAGTTTTCTAAAATCGAAAATTCCAATTAAAATTCAGTTTTCTTACGGACACAACTGTTTCTATCAGATCTTCACCAAAATCCGTGACACAAGTCAGACTCCTTATTATACATCAAAGGGTTAATCGATGAAACGCGTTTTCGTGAAACATCTCATCGATCACGATCCTTAACTTCTTTTTACAATTCACTTATACAAAAGTTTCTCGTTAAAACAACGTAGATAAAAAAAGAGTTTAAAAAAAACAAAAAGTGGAGAAACAAAGGTCTATCGCGCGATTCCACTGCTCAGCCATCGACGTTACTTGTCGAAAAAAGGGTCGATCGTTTTGGACATTTATATCGACAACGAAACGTACACACGCGCGTGATACACACGCGAAACTTTCTCGTTTATGCTCTTTTTCTGGTGTGTACGTTCGTTGCATCCTCTTAGTTTGCATCGCAGTTTCGAGCCGCTTGAGTTCACGTTTCCCCTCCGTTGTTGCTCGAAAAGTAGCACGGTAATTTCCGATCCGTCGAGGCGAAAGGATTCCGCCTGGTTCCGGTGCTGCACGACGCCATGTGATAAACGACGAGGAGAATTGAGAAGGAGCAGAGAGAGAGAGAGAGGGGTGGAACGATCGAAGGAAAAAGGGGAGAGAAACGTTTACGAGCGCAAGGCGTCGTGCACCGACTGTTTTCAGGCCCGATCCACCGTCCGTTCGACAACACTTTCAGAAATGAGATCCCTCCCTTGCATGGCACAGTTCAGAGTTTTATGCGTCCGTTGTAGATTTATCCGTTCGTCGGTGAGCCGCGAATAACGTGCTGGCGGTTGTTGTTTGAGGTGTATACACCTCGTTTCTATCTCACCCGCAGATTTTTATGACCGGAGGGAATATCGCTGAGAAAAAGTTTCGAACGTGTTGCTGATTTTTTTTTTTTTAGGAATTGTTTCGTTAGTTTGGAATTAATTTTGATACGTAATTTAGTCTGATTTTTTATATCATTTTTGTTATTTTTTTTTTTTTTTAAGTGTTTAGTGCTGTTGGGTGCCTGTAGGCGGTTTATTTTCTCGCGCTGTAACCTTGACGCCTATAGGCGTTTTGAATATTTTCTTCCACTTTGCCTTTGGCGCCTATAGGCATTTTGAATATTTTCTCGCATTGTGTCTTTGACGGCTATAGACGTTTTGAATATTTTGTACTTTGCCCTTGGCGCTTATAGGCGTTTTGAATATTTTCTCGCGCTGTGTCCTTAGCGCCTATAGGCGGTTTGAATTTTTTCTCGCACTGTGCCTTTGGCGGCTATAGGCGTTTTGAATACTTTTTTGCACTATGCCTTTGTCGCCTATAGGCATTTTGAATATTTTCTCGCGCTGTCTTTGGCGCCTATAGGCGTTTTGAATATTTTCTCGCACCGTGCCCTTGGCGCCTATAGGCGTTTTGAATATTTTCTCGCGCCGTGCCTTTTGCGCCTATAGGCATTTCGAATATTTTCTCGCACTGTGCTGTTGTTGGTGACTTTTTGCACACTTTTGCCTTAATTTAATCCTTAATTTTTGCCCTTTGCCTGCTTTCGCCTTAATTTAAAGAAATGATAAATTTTTAAATTTTCAAACGCCAAAACAAAACATTTTACGGCCATGATTGAACATCTACCGTCTACCACTCGC